GGACCAAATATTAAAGTTCGCAAAGAAGATGGTTAGAAAACTACCTTTAAAATGGTTGCTTGTTCTACAGGAAATCCAGAAGTTGAAAGTAAAGCATATTTATCTACCAACCAAGAAGGTAGACATTTGATTATTTACAGAAAGTGCGATTTGGCGCAACGGTTATGGTTCTGTTCCTCCGACCTTGAGGTCGGCTTTTCAATCTCTCGCTGTGCATTTCGCTTGCGTCTAGGCAATGTACTATGTTTGTGTCTGTCCACCCAGGAGTACAATTGGGTACCTGGTGGTAGGCTCAAACACAAAATGCGCTGATTACAGCTGCAACATTATGGAATTCTCCCCAGCCATGTGTACCATATGTGCTTGATACAATGACAGGGAGTGGAGGGAGGGGTTATTAATGTGAAGCGCTTAGATTGCCTTGTTGGCACTAAGCGCTATATAAGTCTAATTATTATTTCATTTCATTAAAACTTTAATCTTATACTAAACAAGAACAGAAACAACAAGAAACAAGCACAGAAGAACAGACAAAAACACCCTAAAAGTGAACTTAATTACTGTCAAGTATTATCTTCCAGTGAAAATTTAATAAACTTGTCACTGACCTGTGAATATACCGTCTTTGTCAGTTTAAGTTCCGGTATCTCTTTTTACACTTGTTTTAAAATTATTAAAATTGTGGTTGTGTGTGTGTTTTTTTTAATCAGGTGATTGCTTTGGTTGAGCGGTGTGGGGTCAAACAAGACGCTCAAAGGGTGCTGCTTGAGTATTTACACGACCTTGGTGAGATTCTTTACTTTCCTGATGACAAAGCCTTGAGGGATATTGTTGTTTTAGATGTGATGAAATTAGTTGACATGTTTAAAACAATAATCACCGTTATTGATCCAAAGTTTATGGTAAGCTCAACTTTACATAATTTTACATTTATTTATTCCTTCTTTCAAAAGCGATATATCTTTGTAGACTATAAAAGCATAGCAGGATTCTGAGCTAAAATTATTATATTTCAGAAACCAATGCACAGAGAAGCCTGGAGGAGATTGGACAAGGGGATCCTAGAGGAGCATTTGTTAAGGCACCTATGGAAGGAGTTCAAATTTTCAGATGAGACGTTTGACTTCTTCGTATCTCTCATGCAGAAGTTTGGGCTGGTGTGTGAGAAAAACATTACAATGGTATATATTTTTTTCAATATATTCTGTTTTCTCTTTGTTCTAATAGGCTATATGCTTTATCTAATCAGTTGATAAAAGCAAATTATAATCATCATAAGCGTGTCATTAATTTGTTTCAAATGGTTTCTTTTTTTATTTATTATTTTTTCTTTTGTATATTTGACAATTTTTAATGTACAGTGTTTCCTGTTTTTCAGGGTGGTGAACGTATTTTCTACGTTCTTTCGCGCTTGAAGCCTAAACGAATACATGCCACACAAACTAAGGATTACGGGATTTGCGCAATTTCCATCTTTCATGACTTTGGCAACTATCTACCTGACGATGTTTTCCAGCGTGGAGTAACTAAGTTCATTGAGAGATTCCAAGTAAAAGACGTTGAGCCTACATTATCTTATGAGCATGTGGAGGTGAATATCGATGAATTTCACCTCGTGGTTTTGAGTGTAGCCTCAATCAAGCATCGTCGTATGTTTAAGGTAATTAGTGCAATTTAATATTATTTATCTCTGCCGCTTAACGGTATACTTTGAATATAAATGACAAGTTTATTCATAATGGTAGATTATGGAATGTTATATTCGAAATTTGCAATACATAATTTAAATGATGTTAGTATTAGTTTTGTTATCTATTTTGTTGACTATTTCTCTATTTTTACTATAAAGGCTTCTACATATTTTTAATTGCAATTTTTACACCATCATTTTCATTATCGTCCATCATCATTATTATCATCATCATCGTCGTCATTTGTACCAATACCACCGCCATCATCATCAATACCTTAATAAACAACAATAATAAAAATTAAGTATGTATATAAAAGAAATACCATTTTGCTATTTGGAACATCAAGCACACACACACACCCATAAAAAAACAGAACCACAAGCACTTGAGTATCAAATAGCATGTCTGATACTTTACTGAAGATTGTTTATGACTGAGGCTTATTTTTGTTTTGCAGACAACAATCATCAGACGAAATATTTTCAATGCCGCTCAGCTTACCCAGGAAAATGAACCATCGCCGAGAGTGTGTAAGAAGGTACTATCAATGACTTGAAACACTTAAGGAATCAGGTTTTTTTTTAATGTAATGATGTATCAATCATGTCATTGACATAGTAGATTTACGATCAGTTTTCTATTTGCTACAGGTGTTGACATTCCTCGAAAGAGAACTAAAGATTTGTCAGAGCGGTGCAAGGGGCGTGGAATTAACAAGGTACATTGCTTGCGATTGTAGGGACGCTCACATGCATATTGTGCGCCAATTTAACATGGATGTGTTGCCATGTGGAAGCAATGGAATGGAAGTGACACGCTACCGCCGACTATTTGAAGATGACGTGCAACAACAAGGTAAATTGTGCACTTGCATAGCGGATATAGCATTGTCTAGTGTCTATACACTTTGCAGGACAACAGAACAGGACAAAACTGGAATAAATATTTGGAGAAAACAAACCTGCAAAAATATAGAAAAGTGAAATTGCTGATCTTGTCAATTCTGATGTGGGGTGGGAACGTGCCATAGGTAGTCCATATCCACTTCAGTCCCATGGTTGGGTCGATGGCAGAGACATATTGTGCTGTTACGCATCAACAAACCCTTTTTGGCCCAGGGTAGAGCGAGGTCACTAGGCCTACTGATCCATGGGTAGGGATACCAAAGGTGCCCCTATGGATCAGTGGCCCTGCAGACCGTCGCACGTCAGTGCATAGGCGTTACACCACTGATCATAGAAAGCTGTTCTAAAAACCTGAGTGCTATATTCTGTAATAATGGCTGAAAACTCCGTCTGAGGTCTCCGTCTTTTGGCCTTTTTTCCATACTGATTTATGAAATCGTTGAAAAATTTCGGCATCGGGGATATGCGTTGTATTCTATTTCGCCCACTGCTGGATTCGCCACTGAACTCATGGGTACACTTATTTTCCCCCTCTTTCTTCCTTTAAGTCTTCTCAATTTTTTTCTCTCTTTTTTATTTTTCGGCAGAACTGACAGGGATGGGGAGACGGGCCCGTGGCTCCCCCGCTGGATCCATCCCTGTGCGAAAGGAGGTATAGCTTGGTGGGGGAGGGCTTATTACCTAATAGCTTTTGAGCTACCTGAAAATTAGCGTTTAGTTTGTTCTTTCTCACTTCTGTCAATCTCATCCTGCATTTGAATAATTTTAGTTTAGTATTAATCAATAAACTGTAATCATCATGTCGTGTTACAGCTAACTGAGAAAACAAATATATCAGTATTGAGAAAAAAAATAAAGATTTTGACTGATTTGTTTTCAAAAACACAAAACAATCGCTCTTAAATTATCCCCGTAAACAATGTTAATATTGACAAAAAAAGAAAGAAGTAATATTTGCTGTCGTGGAAATACAGATTTTCCTTGATACACACAATAGGCTTATATATAATATTATGATACTGTCTCTTATACACATCTAGATGTGTATAAGAGACAGGTTATTGGTAGCCATTGACTAGAAAATCTAGTTGGCATATTACATCTCATAATATTAATCATAATTTAAATAATGTTAGTATTAGTTTTGTTGTCTATTTCTTGCAATTCTGTATATATTTCTCTATTTTTACTATAAAGGCTTCTACATATTTTTAATTGCAACTTTTACACCATCATTATCATTATCATCCATCATCATTATTATCATCATCATCATCGTCATCGTCGTCATTTGTACCAATACCACCGCCATATCATTATTTTAAAAAAAAATTAAGTACTGTATATAAAAGAAATATCATTTTGCTATTTGGAACATTAAGCACATAAAACACACAGGCTGTCTCTTATACACATCTAGATGTGTATAAGAGACAGGGTAAGTTGACAGAATGTTAAAATAGACCTACAGGTTTGAAGGCAATTTCATGTAAACAATGGTAATTATTTTGCAAGCATTGAGGCTGTGGAGTGTACTGCCTAATAATGGTACGTTTCTATATGATATGATGCTTCAATTTTGCCATGGTTGCTTTAGGTTTTGTAGATGACGCCGTAATTACGACTGTATCTGAGGAAATGAACAACAGCTGGAAAGGTTTTGGTGTCCGTTTAGGTCTTTCATGGGCTAGAGTTAAACGGTTTTGGACTGAAGAACAGCGGGACTCACAAAAAGCTATCGCTAATATGATGGAGTATTGGAGGAACAATGTCAAAAATGAAACGCATCAACTGAAAGTGTTGTGCATTGCTTTGAGGCAACACAAATACAAGAGACTAGCTGGGGAATTATTCAGTGGTGATCTCGGCGACGAAATTCTGTCCTTAGCCAAACATGAAGGTGAGTTGTAGTGAGAGGTATAAGATTGAAAATATGATGAATTACTGGAAGAGCAACCTCAGTAATGATATTCATCAACGTAAAATGCTGTGCACTGCTCTGAAACAACATAAGCTCAGGAAACTAGCTAAAGAATTATTTGAAAGTGAAATTGGCAATGAAAATCTTGACACTCAGGAAGCAGGTAAGTACCTCAAGGAGTTCAAAAATCGTATTGGAAACCCTTTTTTCTACAGCTTGTTTCTATTTTGTTAACACATAAACTAACACATAGTAACAACAGATGTCAGTTACAATTGTTTTTTATTCATTGCATATCATCTATGTTTTCTAATTAGGAAAATGTTGTAATGATCAAGATTTGCTGTTCATCTGTGACAAACTGGATCCCGAATCATGGAGGAGACTGGGAGTGCGTCTTGGACTCAAATGGACCGATATAAAAAAGATAGCAAAAAACAACAGACTGGTTGAAGACCGCATCATGGAATTGCTGGTTACTTGGAGGGATGACCAATCAAAGTGCCAACAAGTACCAATCATGGTGAATGCTTTGAGACAACAGAAGTTTGTTGGACTTGCACAACGTGTATGTGAAAGGCATGGTTACAGTGACGAGGCAGAAGTTGCACCAACTCAGATAAATCTGCCGCAAATTCAAACGCAAGGGCAAGGTTAGTGAAAATCTGTTGCCATTTTGCACTTGCTGAGAATCATTACATCCCTTGCATCACGTTATGTGGTCCAGTGGCTGTTCGGACAGGCCTAGACCCCTTGTCGTCCAGCGAATGACTAGGTCGTCAAATAAAAAATAAAAAATATTAATTTTGCCTATCCAGATAACATTATAGTGTATTAAGTGTAGCCTGGGTTCAAGGCCATAAATGTGGGTTACTCAATATCTATTGTGCAAGGTTAGTGAAAATCTAATACAAAAATACTGCTATTCTCTAAATGTGTTACCATTTTCACACATCCTGAGAAACAATCCCGATGCATCACGTTTTATGCTGTTTTATGCAAATAAATATATTCCAACATTATTTTCTCCTAACTTGGTCACTTTACACACTTGCATGATCAATGTACCCTCTAAATTGATTTGTTCTACAAACTTGACCCCTGTTATAATATAGTTGAGAACTCCTTGTACACGTAGTGCATCCCCAAATACTTGTGAGAAAAAAATCTTGCAAGTAATTCAAGTGGGAATCGAATCCATGACATCCTGGTATCTTAACCACTATTAGACCACTGATCTCTCGCTTAGTATCTTTATGATTTATAATTGGGAAAATATTTTGATGAAGCAGATTTGCTGTTCATTTTATGAATATCTGTTTAAATAATAGAGCACACCTTTTCTAAAAGCAGTGGCGTAGAAAAGTATTTTTTATTGGGGGGGATGATTGACGTGTTAAGCGCCAATGTGTGCGCTTGTGCCGACAGGGGATGTGCCCCCTCTGAAGCTGGAAACCTTGTTTTTGCAAAATAAATTGGTGCAATTTGATGACTACTTTTTTGAAATTTTGATCAAAATGAAAATAAAATTTACAATTAAAAATATGGCATATCTATATCTTTATTTCTGTGACAGTCTTTTGAAGTGTGTAAAGCTCCATTTTATCCTGCACATAGTCAAAATATTGGGGGGGTTGATACAAGGGACCATACCCCCTTGTCAAATATTGGGGGATATATCCCCCCCCCCAATCTACGCCTATGTCTAAAAGGATTTGTCTATACAGTATTAATGGAAATGTATGTGTTCTATTGCAGGTCGCTTAGATGATATTGACATGGTGTTTATCTCTGACAAACTTGATGGCAATGATTTGACAAATTTCGGCATCTACCTTGGTATGGAGAAACATGAAATAAATGGATTTAAATCAGACTTTTCACCACCAATTGTAGACGCCTATATTGAAATGTTGGTTCAGTGGCGAGAAAGACAGGAAGCTAAAGTAAATCATCTCAAAACAATTAGTGAAGCACTGAACAAACTTGAACGAATAGATATAAAGGAAGAACTTGAGTCATACTACCAGAACAAATATGAAAAAATTGAAGCAAAGGTGTAAAGGAACATTTTAAAGATCACAGCGCAATAAAAAAAATGACACCAGAATATAATTTTACCATGGTTACATACACCACAGTACCACATAAGGACACTTTTTAATTAAGAAATTATATTTTGCTCGCCTTTCGATCATCCAAACTGCCTATATTTGATGTTGTCATCCTGGACCGTAGTTATTGAATACAAAATATACTGAAAACATTAATGTCAACTTTTTCTTAACGTGTATATAAAAACCGAAAGGTCCACTGATTTATCTCAGATAAGAAAGTATAATACATACTTTATGTATTTAAATCCTGATGTTGACATAATATTGAAATATTGAATCCCAACACGAAAACAAATAACACAACAAAAGCTTGCACTTTATATACAGTGCCATGCACAAGTATGTATTCACACAGAGGTAAAGATATCTGCTATATACACTGGCAAATATCTACAAATACATAGTCTAAAAAAACATTGCCAAATAATAGCAGAAAACATACAGTACACACCAAAAACAACAACACAGCGAAACACAGACAAACCCCACAGACAACAAATAGCCAAACACACACCCATACTTGCAGCCTAAAGCCCCATTCCTGGCAAAATCTGTCTCTTATACACATCTAGATGTGTATAAGAGACAGGTGTAACTTAGTAAATTATCTTATGCTGATCTCGCATACTCTTTTGCAGTATACTCTACACATCCAAAAATACTTTGGAAAAGAATGTTGCAAGTATATATGGGTAGACTTGAACCCACGACCTCCAGATAAATGTGCTTAATGGGTTGTGAAACAGTAGCAGCTCCAGGAATTGCCCGACAGGGAGGTTCCCATGTCCCCAACCAGAGCAAAGTGGGCGTGTCGGGAATTACTCAAAATCTTTCAAAAGTGGTCCAGGGCCCCCTGACAAATTTTATAATTTAGGGGTTTCAAATGTTTATTTAGTCAATTTTCAAAGAGTGGGAGAGCTTGGGCAGATGCAGGGGTGCAGACGGTGCGATCGTGCCCTCTAAATTGTATTACGAAAAATAATTGTTAAATTGGTAATAAGAGGTCGATATTCTCAAAATGTTCGCATCTCAGCCACAACCATGTTGAGGCTGAAGTAATGTGCATTCTTATGCACCCATGAGCACAGATCATGAGCAGGGGACACGTCTCCCCACATATTGTTAGGAGGGGGTGGTCCTCTCACTTTTCGTCCGCAATGGAATTTCATAAGTCAAGAAGATGCCTGAAAATTGTTGATTACTCCTAGGACCCAGAATGTTCTGACATAGCTTTCCACGACCCAAACCACGGTTACCAAATGGCGTCCAAGATACAAAATATACGGCCAATGTAATACAGTAGATCCCCTAGTTTTGGACACCCTTAAGGTGATCGACACTTTCAGTGAACAGATGGGGATTGGGGGAGGGGGACAACTAATATGAAGGGCACACCCTTATTAATCGGACACTTTCTGAATTTCTTGGTGTACCAAATGGTCAAATATATTCTGCCTCTATTTGGTGTGAACATCAGTATAGGCCTACTGCATGTGTTCTTATATTTTTGAATCACATTCATGCTATGCATTCCTCCAATAATAAGCTAAATATATTTTTTTATATAAAGGGGAGGGACACCCCTATTAAGGGGACACGTTTTGGACCCCTACGGTACTTATTAAACCAAATAATAACCTAAAGCATCATTTCAATTTTATTTTTCATGATATTCTGATTTCGATCTTTTTTTTTTTTTTTTCTTTTTTCTCTGATTTGTGTTAATTCTGACATTGGTTGCTAGCTCCTTTGTCATGTCTTGATTTTATACCGTACTGCCCACTAATTTAACAGTTACTAAAGCGTAAATTGCCCTCAAGAGTAGACAAATTAGGAGCCGAGGTTTTGAATTAGTGACACTAAATTTCCTAATACGTTATCACCAAAACAAATATTTTTGTGTATTTTGAAACACAAACAGTACTAAGATTAGTGGACTCAGGCTGAGTAGACTGTTGGCGCATAGCGATGTTTTATCAAGCTCATCAACATCGGATAACAGCCAATTAGGGCCTAACACAAATTGAAGACAATAGTTAACATTTTACCAAATTAATTAATCTCATACGTTTTATATAATTTTCTAGACCAAGATGCGATCTGACGACCCCAAAAAATTCTCCCACTACCAAAACTTGGGTCGCGACCCATGGGTTGTCGTCCGGAGGCATAAATGACCCATTTTTTAAAGAAAGAGCGCTGTACAGCCAGATTTTGTAGCAACATACCAGTATATATCTCTGCCCGCAAACATCTGAATTACCTATAATACACGATTCGAGTGCGATTTCCTTTATTATTGTTATTAAAATTATGAGAAAAAGCGTGCTAACAATTAAGTATTATTTTCTATACATCAACAGCGATTAATTTGAGCGATGACTATGAATTATTTTACGATGTAGGGCCCCTACTTATGAAAATTTTATATTTACTACGAATATTTGAAAACATGATTACTGAAATGTTTACTAACTTAAGAAGTCTACCTGAAGCAACAATGTGGTTATGTGCACGTCAGCACGGCATTGATTTGATAGAAAAAAAAAAGACTCAACTTGGATTGAGTTTATTTAAATTTACTTAAATACTTTGTTGCAACCTTCGAAACAAAAGCGCGAACATTTTTTAAACTTATTTATTTTTTTAATTATTTATTCTTAGCCAATGAAACAATATGCAAATCAAAATCCAAGATGGCAAGGAATGACCACAGTTATAAAAACAAACTTTGGCTCTCAAACTGGTCAGAAATGATTAAAAATAACAATACAAAAATATAACTTTTTTAACTGCTGTACAAAAGATTTGCAAGAGTAAAATTTGAATAAAAAAGGATCAATAAAAGACATCAAAAAACTAAAACAAAAACAAATAATGATTACACTAGATGAGGAAACAATTGTTCTATTTACAATTACAGCTGTTGAAATAGGTCCATGCTTAACATCTAACAATTATAACATCATATTGCAAATACAGCAATAATATAGCATCCAGACCAAAGTTAAAACATTGTTTTTGAAATATTTTAAAAAGAATAGATATGAAAAAAAAAAATGATCAAAGTTGTTTTTTATTGATATTTGATGTACTCGTGCGTCAAGAGGGCGCTGTTCAATCTGCTCTGCCTGTGCTCTGCGTGTGCGTGCGAGAGTGAAAGACAAACATCATGTTGAATATCAAGATGATAATTTACTAGGCTATACTGCAGCTTGAAAACCATTTTATTCTTTGAATGCCTTCTGTACGTACTTATGAGGAAACTAGTAAAGTGTTCATATTTTTTTTTAAATGCGAAAGCTTATGGTCACGTTTACAAGATAAGTAATAATGTAGCCCAACCATGGGTACAGCAGCTCCCTAGCTACTGTACTACTAGGCCCAGTTCTAGCGGGTATGTAGGCTCTAGCCTAGGCCCCCAGCCTACTCTCTGTGCTAGGGCTTGGGCCTACAGTAGGCCTAGGTAGGCTATGGTTCTAACTAGGCCTAGTTAGCCTCCATACTACTTCCTGGCCGCCTAGCCGTAGGTTAGCGGGTTGGTTAAGCTAGGCATTATTGGGGCTAGTACTAGAGAGTAGTAGGCTACTAGGCTACCCCTTCTAAGACTAATAGCATTTTAATACGCCTTTTTTTACAATCCCAAGCAAGCCAGTGGTGCATAACCAACAGAAATAAGATAATCTTTGAGGCTAAATTCTTGTCCTCACTCATGTTATCTAAAAATTCATAACTCCATAACGGAGGATCATATCACAAAAGACTATTCTACACCACTATATGGTTGGAAAAAAATTAAAAAATGTTTTTATTTCAACCTCTGAAACCAAGATGGAAAAAGAAGAGCCTATGTAAATAGTATTGATATTTACCATGACTTCAAATTTTCTACAACAGGAGATGGCAGACATGGCACAGTACTCTTTGACAAAGAAGCATTCGCTGCTAAGGTAGAATTCAGTTGATTACAGTATTCCTTTCACATTTCAGTGATACTTTAATAAAAGGCAACACTTTTTTTTTATAATTTGTTTCCCAAACTTTTTGTTTTAAAGCCCCATTCCTGGCAAAATTTCACTAAAAACTGACTTTTTTTAGAAAATATGCATTTGCATTACTCCAATTATTATAAATCATGGAAAAATATTGGCATGAATTTTAGTTTTACGCAAAAGAATAAAAAATTTGCTGTGCACTACAGCTAAACAAGGTACTGTACGTACTGTCTCTTATACACATCTCATCCACTGGAATACTCTCGCTTTTATGTATACTTTATACAGTCAATAAAGTGCGCCCTCTCTAATGAGATTAGTTTTTGTACTTCGCATCTCGCACAATGCGGTCGTTCGGTTAGACTGAGATATGTTTGTCTAAGTGTCAAAATCTCAGTCAGAATCAGTTTTTTAACAATTTGAAATAATTCCTATGAAATATTATATTCACAAGTGTCAATACTAGCAACGGAAAATATCATGTCGGCCGTTTTTATGTGTAATAACCGAACCTAAATCGAGGTAAGGTTAGGCCTAGCCTAGCAGCGTTGAATAGGCTAATGTTTTCGGCGCCTACGATATTTCTTCTCACGACCTATCGCAAAATCAACATGAAAAAATCATCCCCATTTATTTTTTGTGTGGAACACAAAAAATCAAATTTCAGTCTTATTTTACATTTTTTTCATTCTTAGGAATGTCTAAATTCAGTTAAACTAGCAATTCCGTATTATATTTATAAATCTTTATAACATTATACAAAAATTAGATTTTTCTTAAAAACTGAAATTTTGCCGGGAATGGGGCTTTAAAGATCGTCATCTGAGGAGGATGAAAAAAATATTAAAATATAATTTTGGTTTGATATTTAGCAAATATTTTTGCCAAATATATCCAGACGGAGGAGAAAATAATAATAACATTTTATTTGTGAATGTAAACAGTGAAGTAATGGGATCGTTAAATGTTTTAAATCTATTTAATTAGGAAGAAATATCATATCTTATTTTTGAATATTGCAAGGCAGCAGCGGGCATACTGTAGTAAAAATAAAGAAAAGATTTTATAAATTTTAATTTTTACATGGCAGCAAGTCATCATTATTATTATTGGTACTGTATGTGGTGGGTTCGCTAAACAAGGTAAAAAGAAGTGTTGCCTAATGCGTCAGCAAGCCTGTAAGCCAAGGGAGATCTTAGGTTTTGAAGGAAACCTCCTTTTTCATAAGTGCCCTTACCAATTACATGCTATAATGGGGTACTGTATTATAATAATAATCATCATCAGGATGTTATTAATAGAGTACTCATACTAAAGCTCTGTCCAGACTATCAAATATATAGCCATGATGTGCCTATATATGGTCATGATGTGCCTATGTATGGTCATGATGTGATGTCATCTAGCCATGATGTGCCTATTATATAGCCATGATGTGCCTATATATGGTCATGATGTGCCTATATATGGTCATGATGTGATGTCATCTAGCCATGATGTCCTTATATATGGTCATGATGTGCCTATATATGGTCATGATGTGATGTCATCTAGCCATGATGGGCCTATATATAGCCATGATGTGCCTAAATATGGTCATGATGTACCTATGCAGTATATGGTCATGGTGTGCCTATATATGGTCATGATGTGATGTCATGACCATAGACATGTAACATGTTTTTTTTTCTGGATATATGTTTTCTTTCTTTTAAACTTCAAACCAATGGCCTCCATTTTATAGATGTATTTAGAATGGGACATAGGAAATCAATTACTCAAGGCATGTGAATGTCATGACCACTGACCCTTCAGGGGGCTTAGCCTTCTTGCCCTTCTGTGTCCTCCCCCCAGGGGTCCTAGGTGGCTGCAAGCCTCTATCCATTTAGCTTGCTCATGACCTCTGCTGCTGTGCCCTTCATACATTCTGTCTCTTATACACATCTAGATGTGTATAAGAGACAGACTATATGGTTGGAAAAAAATTAAAAAATGTTTTTATTTCAACCTCTGAAACCAAGATGGAAAAAGAAGAGCCTATGTAAATAGTATTGATATTTACCATGACTTCAAATTTTCTACAACAGGAGATGGCAGACATGGCACAGTACTCTTTGACAAAGAAGCATTCGCTGCTAAGGTAGAATTCAGTTGATTACAGTATTCCTTTCACATTTCAGTGATACTTTAATAAAAGGCAACACTTTTTTTTTATAATTTGTTTCCCAAACTTTTTGTTTTAAAGCCCCATTCCTGGCAAAATTTCACTAAAAACTGACTTTTTTTAGAAAATATGCATTTGCATTACTCCAATTATTATAAATCATGGAAAAATATTGGCATGAATTTTAGTTTTACGCA